TTTTTCTATAACTTGATTTCTATTGGTCAGTGCTTAACCAACAGGCCTTCGAAACAAGTGGAGTACAGATTCGAGTTCTCCACTCCAGAAAACCTTCAAGCATCACCTCTTATCGGAAGATAGTGCTCTATTTGTGGATCAGTTAGAGTGTGGACAAGAACAGAACCGATTTCCGTTTATTTATCTTTGCAATAGGTGAGTTAGCCTTCTTGTTTCTTTATGTTTTATATACCATTTGGTAGCTCATTAAATTCTCTATCGAATGGTATATAATAGTTGGGGTTTTGTTTGAGTATGATAGGAAAATTGTTTTACGAAAACGAGGAATGGTCGATTTTCCCACAGGAAGCCATAGGGAAAAATGAGTATTTTTGCAATAACTCAGAAACGGTTCGGTCAATTCTTCTCATATTCGAAATTGACCGAGACATTGTTAAGACTGAACTGTGTAGAAAATCTCATCGCGATCGAACTCTCCTTTCAAAAGTTATCGTGTAAACGGACGGTCGAACACACTGACCGATTCTAGAGTGTACTCACTTTTTGAGTACACAAAAACGAGACTTCGGAATACCAAAGTCTTGGTTGTTTTTCTTTGGTTTTTATTATTAATTAATCTGTTGAATATAATCAGTACTATGAATTATACATATATGAATGGTCAATTTTAGTTCTAATCTTCTTGGTAAAAATCGAAACTCAAGCTAAACAAACTGATCTTCTTACATTTATAGTTATTAATGAATGTGGGCAAGATAATCCTGAAACGTGGCCTAAATTTTTGTTTTTAACTGGGATCACGATAAAAAAAACTCATGATTTCATGAAGTGAAAGTGAAAATTTCAATCTTGATATAAACGAGCTCAACAAAATCTTCTGCTCATCGACAAGTTTCTTAAATAACTTACTGTTGATCGAGCTGATGTCGGTGGGGCATTATAAACAGGCTAGAAACAAAAGAAAAAAATTATAATAATATATTTAAAATCCATTGCTTGATATACTTTAGCTAAGGCTCGATTCGTTGGTCGTGGTCGACATTTATAATGAAGATAACAAAATACGAAGATCAATAATAAAACAAAAGCAATCGGTCCAAGAATAGCACCAATAAGCCATAGTTTACGATCGGTTTCTGGAGTTTGTTTACTATCAATAGTTGTACTTCTTATTAATGCACCATCATAATCATAACCAAGTGCACTTATGATTTGTTCACGCGATAATACATCTGTAGCTGTCTTAACTTGAATAGGTGACAATAAGACACCTGAACGGCATAAATCAATAACAGAGTAATCTACCGTATATTTTCTTGAAGTATCATTAGAAATCTAGATTAATATTTAAAAAAAAAAATAATAATAATAAAATAATAAGTATTTTCATTTAATTCTATTTACTTGTGTTATATCTGAAACCAAATTAACGTCATAACCACTTGAACATATTTGACGTTTAACACGTAGTTTAGATTGTGTACAATTCGGATAAGGTGAATTAGATAGACAATTAAAAGCAAAGTTTATCACTCGAATTAATCCTTGACGAATCGATTGTATAGTATTGTTATCAGATGGAGTGAAATTTTGATTAAATGGAACAATAATTACTGAAATAAATAAGAAAAACTAATTTTATCAATCATTTATTATAATATTAACGAACTTATTGATATTCTATATGATGCAGCTACTGTTGTTCTTTGAGAAGTAGAAATAGTTGTTGTACTCGATGTTGAATTAACTGTTTGATTTGCTGTTGTTATTGTTGTAGATAAGTTACTAGCACTTGTAATCATTGCAGTACTTATGACTGATGATTGTGTAGAAAGTGTTATTTGAGTAGTTACGTCTAAGGAATATTAAAAATAAATCATAATACTATGAAAAAGAAAATATTAATATTGAATATTTCTACATTTTCTAGACAGTGTAAATTATGTTATTTTTGATTTTATTAGCTTTATGAAAAGAAGAATTAATTGTTGTTTATACTCCGACATTTGTCGAACTACTTGTAAATATATTAGTGAATAAGAGTGAACCATTCGAAATCAATGCTCTAGATTTACTTTGTTGTGATATAGGCATCATTGTCATTTGGTTAGATTGTGTTGATATTAGAGGTAAAGCACTATGAGATTCAATACTCATTATTGAAGCAAAACTTGATGAAATATTAGATACTACAGTGCTTGAAAAAATAGAATTCAATGAGATAGGAATTGTCGATGTTTGGGATGATGAAGTAGAAATAGTAGATATCAATTGAGATGCAGTTGGTACATTAATTATAGTTTTAGTTATTGAACCTCCACTATTGATAGAACTTATTGATTGGTTGTCATTATTTGAACTGAATTCAGTAGGATATGATAAAGTACTGTTTGGTATCGTATTCATATTTATGGAAGTTAATGTGACGGATATTGTGTTTGAAGTTATTAAGCTACTGTATGGAATAGAATTGAGGGGAGTAAAAGAAATAGTAGTATCTGTATGGGAAGATGTTTGATTTGTAAATGCAGTAGATGAAGTTGATACTACAGTATCAGTATTTGTTTTTATTGAGCTACCTATATATTCACTTGTATAGGTATTAAACAATAAAAACGTATTAGTATTATATTTGATTGAAGATATTGAATTACTTCTAGATGAACTCGCAGCGTAAGTTATGGAATTAGTAGAGGACTGTGACATATTAGATATTTTTTTTGTTTTTATAGTGTTTATTGATGATATAGGTATAGTAGATGTCACATTGGACATCATCAATGATGAATAAACTGAGGTGTATATATTATTTATATTACTAATAGTGAATGAAAATGGCTGATTAGTATGTGTACTTGAACTGTTTGTAATTGTGGAATTTGATAAAGACGAGATTAATAAAGGAGAACTTGTTATTGTTGCTGGTTGTGAAGTAACTGCTGTTACTGATACAGTGTATAATGATATTGAATCATTCACCGATATTGAAGTTATATTAAATGATGTCGAACTTTCCGCAGTTGTAGGTGACGATGCGTAGGTACTTTCATTTGCTACTAAAATCAAAGAGGAAACGATTTGTAAAAATTATTATATGTCATTATATCCATTATAATTAATTATTAACCAAATATATTTGTTAGATGTAGTATTGCAAAGATGTTAGCATAACAACGTATATATAAAATATAATAGACACAAATATATATTGTGAATTAATATGTGCTATTACAGAGGAACAAAAACAAAAATCATTCAATTGAATACACACTTATACATAACAATAAGCATTATTATGAATACACAAGAGTAATATTCAACATTTGAAAGTGATAACAATAATCTTACCAACAGCCCTTTTTACTAAAGATATTAGAAAAACGTTTATTAAAACTATGAACTATCTACATCAAATTAAATACTACGTCAATTTAAAAATATTTTCTTACCTCGAATTATTGTCTCCGATAGATCTTTCCTTAATGAATATTCTTAAAAAACAAAAAAAAGTAATAATTAAACATAATTAATTTCATATTTATTTCTACTGACGATAATTTTTTATATTGTAAACACTAAGTACATGAAGACCACCACAACAATCAATAGCCATATCATGTGAACTTTTATTACATCGAATATTACATAAATTCGAATTTAATGATGATTGATTTAAATCATTTCCACAATGACATAAGTTACTAAAAAAAAAAAAAAGAAAAACAAAACATCAATACAGAGTAATAGTAAAATTTTATTTACCCATTCATAATCCCTGCATAAGCATATTTTATAGAACAATATTTAACACATTGTTCAATTGAATATACAATATCCATTCCTATTTTCAATGTTATACTATCAAAACATCCTTGATAGCCAATTAAGTTATTTTGACAAGCATAACCTAAATTAAACAATCGTCTTTCTTTTTCAGTGAAACAAAGAATATATAAATAACAACCTGTAGTAAATGTATCGATTGAATTAAATACACTATAAATACTATTTCGATTATGACCACCACATTTTTCTGATGTTGAACAATTATATGTACATTCATCATCGGATACTTGACCATATTTTCCATATTGTCGACCACAACGACATTCATTACCATATTGTATACCTGCATAAGGAAAATTTTGTTCTTGACATGCAAGAATACATTGTTTTGGGGTTAATTGTTCATAATCACTAATAAATGTACTCAGATCACGTTTACCAATTCGATCAACAAAACAACCCAAATATGAATTTGAAGCTGAAAGACAAAAAAAAAATAATTTTCACTAACTATAATTGAATTTTATTATTTTCTCTTACCATAAATAATCGTTATACAAACGATTGAATAATACAGTAAAAATATAATTTTCATCGTAACTTTCGATCATACCAATAGATAAAAAAAAAATTTCTCATAAGATTTCATCAGTCTAAAAAATATTTTTTTTTTTATTTCTCTATGATTTCGTATTTTGTTGTTTTATTGATTTTAAATGACAATGATCATTCGTCTTTCTATTCTTTCATTACTATACGAAAAAGAAAAAAATTCTTTCACATTCAAGGAAATAATGAATTCAACAAGATTATTTTTAGAACAATACATGAGTATACAAAAAATAATTTATCAAATATACTTTACAAGACTAATGTGTACATACATATAGATTAACAATTTGAAAATTTAATTATTAAATAACCTTGATGTATGTTTTGATGGCATAGCATATTTGAAAGCTTTCTTTTTAGCATTCTGTCTCTCTCAATATAAACAAAATAAAAATGAAAAGAAAATTTTCTTCAAGTTTACATACTTCTATGAGTAAATGATATGAAACATTTATCAACAATCATTCTATTAAAACCCGAAAAAAAAATATACGATACACTCACTCATGTTAAAAGAAAAATAGAAGAGATTACTTGTCAAATGACACACACATCAATCTTTTAAAAAAAGATCAAGAAAGAAATCGATGAGATTTCGATCGTGAAATCTGACCCAATTATGCTTGTTTAGATTTTTAGAAGATTGTATTACGTGAGAATAAAATATTATAATAGAAAAAAGAGGCTACAATAGAATCAGATGTTATTACAAAATAGAATAGAATCATCTATAATCTCTGTTCTAATGTACATGTAAATGTTATAATTAAAATACAGAGACTGTATCTATTATGTAACTACTGAAATTTTAATCATAATATCGTTCATTCTTTTTTTTTTTCGATTTCAGTCAAAAATTAATTTTTAACGAAAAGAAACCTGATGATGATTTATCGAAATATATACACCTTTTAATAACAGTCATTCTCCTCTACAAACAAAATATATGTGTAGATTTGGGTTTTCTCTGGTATCAATTTCAATAATATTATTTTATCAGAACAAAATAAAATTTATTTGTTAGTTTTGATATAAATTGTACAAGACTATGTTTTATTTTCTACATACTTATGTCTTTATTTTCATCATAGTTAATCTAAAACGTATGAATATTTTATATTTCATCTTCGAAAAAAAAATGTCAAGCACATCTACTGTGAAAACATGTATGTATACTTAGAAAAGAACATAATTTTATCTACGGAACGAATTTCTATATTCACTATGCTACTGCTTAATTAGTCTTCTCTTTCTCTTAGTTAAACAAAATCCAATAATCTTTAATATAAACATTAATGAATATGATTCATATGTCGTTGTAAATATATGAATAATTCGGAATAAAAGTTTAAAAATGTAAAACATTATTAGATATTTTTTACTTTGCGGTGTACAATGTGATTCATTTTTTTATTACAAATTTTACCATTTTGTGTTCAAACTGTTGCTAGGCATTCTCCTGCCTATGATTCTCATTTAACTATTCATTCTGTCCCGACTTGAGCGACATCTAACGAATTTATACTCGTATCTTAATAGAGAGAAGTATGAAAGATCACGCCATTCAACTGAAGATGACCACGCCATTTATCTGTCTCACTAGAAGATCATACGATAATTTACATGCTGTTTTTTTCAGATCACAGGATCATATATATATATACACTTCATTGCAAGACTAAATTATCCTTAGAATAAGGTAAATTCATATTATTTTTATAAAATATAATGACAGAAAAGTCAGTGATACGACGTACAAACGATAATGTGAAACAAGAAGTTTCATTTTACAATTCGTTATTCGAAGATTCAACAACAGCTGATAAACGAAAAAATCAATACAAAAATTTAGTTACAAGTTATTATAGTTTAGTAACAGATTTTTATGAATATGGTTGGGGACAAAGTTTTCATTTTGCAAATCGATTTCGTGGTGAAACATTAGCTGAATCAATTCAACGACATGAATCTTATTTAGCATTGAAAATGAATTTAAAACCAGGCGATAAAGTACTCGATCTTGGTTGTGGTGTTGGTGGACCATTGAGACGTATTGCTCATTTAACCGGAGCACATATTACTGGTATAACCATTAGTGATTATCAAATTCAACGAGCTAAAAAGATTGGTAAGAACATATAGATAAGTTGAAACTTTCACCTTGAACGAATTTATTTTTTAGGTGTACCAACTAATTGTCAGTTCATTCAAGGTGATTTCATGAAATTACCATTTGAAGATAATAGTTTTGATCATGTTTACACTATTGAAGCCGTATGTCATGCACCAGATAAGGTAAATTTATATATTACATATTATTGTGTTTTTAATATTGAAGAAAAAAAGACCCTTACACATAATCATTAAAACTATCTTTTCTTCTTTTCTTCTGTAAACGTTTTTAGGCAAAATGTTTTGCTGAAGTTATTCGTGTACTTAAACCAGGAGGTTCTTTAGTTGGTTATGATTGGTGTTTAACTGATAAATATGATAGTCAAAATCATGATCATGTCGAAACAAAACGTTTAATAGAAGAAGGTGATGCATTACCTGATTTGAAATCTACACATCAATTGGTTGCGGATCTGAAATCTGTTGGATTTACGGTTGAAGAAAGTCGAATAATTCCAGAAGGTGATATTCCATGGTATCAACCATTAAAAGGTGGAGATTCATTTTTAACATTAAGCAATTTTCGTACAAGTTTTTTTGGACAATTATTAACACGTAATACAGTTTGGCTATTGGAAAAAACTAGAATAGCTGCTCAAGGTAGTCTAGCAACTCTTCATATACTTGAAACAGCAAGAGATGGAGTTGTACGTGGTGGTGAAAGTGATATATTTACACCTTATTTCTTTTTTCTTGCAAGAAAATCTTAATATAAAAAAAAGAAGAAGAAACAATAGACTAATTTATAAGAATTGAACATTGTTTTAAAATTTGTTGTTATTTTTCGTGGTATTTGATTTGTTTTTATAGATGATGTAATAAATTGTAAGCAACATTTAGTAAATAATAGACATCAAAACGATAATATTTGGGTTCACCTTACTTTTGTCGATAGCTGAGGTGGAAATTTTTGAATATTTTCTTGTTGAGAAAATAAAAAAAACCAAGCATATAAATGTGGATCAAATGTTTATCATTGTAAAAGAAAGAGTGAAGGACAAGCAAAAAGACTTTTATATCTTAGTTTATCAACGTTAGGTAAAGTTTCTATTGAATAATCATTACTTTTTTGTCACAAGTAAAACCAAGTCATTGAGAAGATCAGATGCTGTAATGAGATAATCATTATATTGATTAGACAAGATGTTTATTCGATTTTGTAATACTGTTGACCAGTTTTTTCCTGTTTCACTGGACCAGAAGGGTGTAGCAGGCACGTTTATAGAATTTTCGGCTGTGATAGGAAGATCAAATTTTTTCTATCTAATTTTGAAGAGACTTTCGCTCGTGTTCGATAGACATGACATTAATTATTTATATTCATCTTTATTCATATTTGATAACTATTCTGTATACTTTCGATAATTAATTTGCTGATGAGCGATGTTCTTATGAATGCTGATAGTAGTCAAATCAGTAAATCTTTTATCACTTGTCCTGTTGCATAAATAGGTTTTAATTAAATTCATGACAGAAAATGAACACTCGGCAGTAGCTATGGACACTGGTATTTGACATTTGAATTTGGATGAGAATAACACTTGATACATTCGGTTGCTTAGATAACGGAATCTTTGTGATATTCATAGTTTTTTCGTTTTCCTAAAAATAAAATAGAACTACGACAATAAACTTATTGATCCATATGCGAATATACTAGTCATAGGTGTTTGACAGATTGATCGGATTTTTCCATTTTATTTGGCTTTTGAAAAATAATAATTTGCTGGTGAAATCTATGATTTTGTTCGTTCAACAGACAAAGAAAAAAATGGCAGCTGGAACTGCTTTATTGTTATTGATTTCGAGCTCGTTTTTGTTATTGGAATCATAGAAATAATCGACTTTTGAGTATCGTGAGACATTTTTATCTATGTCATACAAACACAAGCATCGTATATTGATAGTGTAACTTTTTCTTGATAGAGAGAACGATCAATTTCTCAGCCTCTCTTCTGTAAACGTCCATCGTGTGTTGCTTCACTCTTTATGCACATGCAGATCCACACTCCTATGGTCACATACAATTCTTCGATATTTTTGCTTTTGACCAAAGTTCATATAAACAATATTTGCCCTTGTCATTATGTTTGTTGCATAAAAGAACAGCCACATGTTAATTTTAAAAAATCTTAAACTCAAAACCAATCAGACATTAGAAATATATATTTTTCAATACTTTTTCATTAAAATGAATAGACTTGCCATTTCAAACAGGCAGTGCATTACATAAGAAAAATAAATTTTGAATCATGAATACAAATGAAGTTGTTTTTCTTCAGTTGGTTAACATGTTGTTTCTAATTTTCATTCTTCTCATTTTTTTGGCTGTGCTGTTTTCAATTCGAAATAAATGACAGAAGTGTTGGAAAAATTTCCCATCACTTAGGTTCGTGCTATTTCAATATGTTCTTATTGATTTCTGTGGTACTTAAAGTTTCCAAAAATGTATTTTTCAAATTTTTTCAAAAGTATATAGACTAGGCGCTGTGTCTCATGGTATTAATAAATATCATGTTTAAAATCGAAAAAAAAGTTGAGCTTTCATGGCAAAAATTATACTATCGAGAAAAGCTTCAAAATATTCTTGAAAATTCGTGGTCTAACTTTTTATCGAAAGTTTCACAACTGAAAAGTGTCTTGGTGTTACAAAACCACTCATACAGATTGACGTGGTTTATCATTTTCTATTCGAATATCAAGTCAAGGCGGCAAAAAAAGATGTACATCAGGCTTTCAAAGGCCATCTAAAAAATCGACTCTAAGTTCTTAGAAAATCTAGGTTTTTGAAAATTCCATCATGTTCAACATATATTAAAAGCGACTACTACAATTTTTTATAGTTTTTACCAGAGTCGAACATGCCGAACACTAATTGCTTCAGCCTACAGAAAAAATTGGCTTTCTGGTCAATCTATTAGAACATTGTGAATATCAATTGATAGGGTCGACGCACGGCTAGAGATTTTAAAATATGTTAAACACGTTGAGGTTGTCGAAAAGTCTATGTTCTCTAAAATTCTGGGGTCAGTTTTGTAGAGAGTCTTGAGAAGCCTGATATACATTTTTTTTGTTGCTTGGAGTTGATATTCGGATAGAGGATAAAAAACTGCGTGGAGATGTATCAATGATTTTTTGACACCAAGCCATTTTTTCGTAGTATAATAGCCGATACAAAGTCACACATTTTGAATACATAGAGCAACTAGTTTTGCCCGAATATCTTATATTTTAGAAAATAAACCTACTGTTTAAGTATATTTTCTATATGAGAAGAGAGTTATGCGAGGGAAAACTACTATATGATCAATTTATTAGTAGACTTTGGGCATTTAATTATCTCACAGAGACAAAAATAGGGTGTAGATTTAGAAAGAAGCCTCACACACATCTTCTTTTATTTTAATGCTTGTTCATCATTACATATTCGAACTTCATTTCAAATAATTTATGTAATCGTATGTATATCCTATGTGAAGTATTAGATTTTTCTTTTAAAAAGAGACATTACAAGGATTTATTTATTTTTCTTAAATTGATTGCATCTATTTAAATGACCGAGTTTATTGGGATTCATCTGAATTTATTTATTGATCTCATATAATACATTTTAACTCTACCAAACGAGAGCTATAGTTCTGAAGAGTCAGCCTTCACTCTCAGCTAATCCTTTGCCATAAGTGTCGTTCTCATCTCAGCCCAATTCATTGTGTTTGATGATAAGATGTATATCGGGATTAATGAGCCATTTCACATAAACCACGGTCTCCTCTCAACCTCCCCGTGATTCTATATGTACAAAAAAAGCAGACCGCCCTACTACCTTAGTACATGCAGACAGTAAAACAGCGGAATTTTGCCTCCGTTAAACCATCATATTTCGTCATATATGATAGTTTACGACTGCGCTTATCCAAGTTGGTTTACACTGATTATTTGCGTTCTTTCTAAACACGTTATGAAGTCGATCTCAACCTTGAATTTCATACGAAATCTTACAAAACTCGGTTCAGTTAAAACTCGAATGATTTGAGTGTGCTGCATACATAGGTTGTTTTTATATATTCTTCTTCGAAATTTTCAAGTTAAAGGAAATTATTACTCTATAGATATTAAAACAATTAAATTTTGTATATCTTATATCATTATTTAAAAAGTAAAATTGAGATTCATCATCAAATTGATGATTTATTACCAAATAAATTATATTATTTAATTGAAAAAATTAAAAACAATTTTCCTATTGAATCATATGCTGTAGGACAAACTATATTAGAAAAAAAGATTTTTTTCAACTCAACATGGTTAAATTAAACAAAAAAGAATAGTATAAATAATCCATTTGCCAATGAACAGGACGAACATCACTTTTTGGAATTATTGGCAATTGGTTCAATTATTTATCTATCTTTTTATATAACATAAAACATGAATTTATAAAATAATTACAATCAATCATTAACATCATATCGAAAATGATATCATTCTATAGTTTCTCAATTTTCATCTAGATCCGATAATTGAATTGAAAAGATATTTACTTTTTTTTTATGTCAAAAATTTTTGTTAGATTGCAAAAAAAAATTCAACCATATGTACAGTAGACGACAAAAGTCTCCCCCCTAGAGGATCTCAGCCACAATAGATGCTGAAGACCTGAAAATGTGTGTGCATATAGTCTGTCAAGCATGTAGATCAGAGACACAATTTCAGCTCGATTGCTTAAAGTACAAGGAGAATTATGATGAAC